ACACAGGAGGTTCCGCTTAAACTTGAGAAGTTCACTTCTCAAGAGCCTTGGAACAGGCTGCCCAGGGAGGTTGTGGAGTCTCCTTCTCTGGAGACATTCAAGACCCACCTGGACACCTTCCTGTGTGATCTCATTTAGGTTCCTGCTCCGGCAGGGGGATTGGACTGGATGATCTTTCGAGGTCCCTTCCAATCCCCAACATTCTGTGATATTCTGTGAGCACAGGCCCACCTCTCAAGTGTGTCAAGGTCCCTCTGGATGGCATCTCTTTCCACCAGTATATCAACAATGTTGATTTCATACTTGGAATCCAACTTCCTGAAGGACCTGGACAGTCTTAAAACCCACATCTGCTCTGTGAAGTATTATATACAGCAACGTTCACAGACCAGACACATTCTTGCCAAAATGACATTTATTGCAGTATACCTTTACATGGCATACAGATAACCAAATGTTGCATCTTCTGTTAGAACTCATATTTGTACCACTTAAATAACACAGAATGTCATGTTTGTTTCACAAACTGTCAGTTTAGACTACCAAAATATACAGGTTTTTTTTTCCTTTCCCCCTAGCAAGGTTGTGAGGTACAACTGAAGTTTACCATTTTATCTTCCTGTGCTTTACAAGAACCTTTTCATAGATAAACCTATCAAACAACATTTCTACATTCCTATACAAAGCAAAGAATTACAGCTGAAATTAACACCATCTGGTCATTGCATGAACCTATAAAAATTCATTCAGTAAAAAAAAAAAAAAAAAAAAAAAAAAAAGACAAAGACATAATGGACTTTACAGCTTTACTTAAAAACAGCCAGCTACACGTATGCACAAGTTTTCCTTGTGCATAAAGAAGAGTTTGGAATCAATAAGTGTTTGGTTTTTTTTCCTTGGGTTTGCAGAGAAGGCACCAATTTTAGCTGCGCAGCAGCTCAGGAGTGTTTTCTACTTCATTTAAATTACACAGGTTTTTAAGTTTTACTGTTAATGTGCAACATTTGTACCAACTGTTGCAGTATTCTCCAATATTCTCCAATCATTCCCTCTGGCTCAACGGTACAAATATTTACATCAGTTGTAAACACTCCTCCACCCACCCCATACCTTCTGCACCGAGCGATGAGGAGCTGAACTTGCAAAAAGCTAACCAAAGGCAGAGCAGAAGTAAGGCTTGTGCAGAACACCACACTTTTCTTCTCACTCGGTTTGAGATACACTGGAGAACTCCAGACCCTCAAGGAGGCCTCAGTGCCTTGCATCTAACAGCACATTGACCACCAACAGTTTCAGGCATCTGGACTTTCCTCAGGAGGTGCTTTTCAGCCCTTTCTAGTCTTACATCCCTGAAGCTGCTACTCTCCAAAGTGCAGGAACAGCTTCTGAAGAGCCATTCTGGAGTCATGAGAGTCAAGCATGCCAACTGTTGTATCTATTTAAGGCCATCTACACTTAGCCTTCATCAGGCTTGGTTCAGATGCTATGCTTCTCCTACTCCTTAGCTGCGAAGACGCGATACGCTGCTTTCTACCTTCCACCCCTGCGTGCCATGGTATTCTGTGGCACAGACAGCAGACCACGGTTGGAGACAACCACTGTAAACAGTGCACAGAGAGGTAGGTGCTACAACACGCCATCAGTCACCTGTCGACTACACAGTAGCGTGGGGTAAAAGTATTTGCAGCATGACAGCCCAGCCTGGATTCGGCATCTAAGAAGAGGGAATGTCTGAGATGAGGCTGCTTAGAAAAATCTATTTCTTACCTAAGCCTAGAAGGAGCAAGAGGACAGTGGGACAGTCCAATGCTATTGGTAAAATGAACTCTCCACTTAGTTTTGGGGTCTTTGGGGTTTGTTTTTTATTAGTGTGTGCACCAACTGCTTAGGAGCTGGTTCCGAGTATGGGACAGTGTTCCCAAAATATAAGTTATTTTAAACCACATGACAGTCATTTTCTTACCCTGGCTCTCATAATCTTATTTCACTAGAAATCATGTTCAGCTTGATGTTTCATAGGCATTAAGTGCTCCAAATATGGCAGTTAGAAAGAGCTAGAGGATTGCAGTGTATTAAATGTCTGCCCAGTGCAGCCATTTGTTACACTTAAAACACATCTATGAGTTAAATAGGAAGGACCCCTGCTATACAGAATTCGAGCACTGCTAATTGTTTATTCTTGCTAGCCCTTTCCCCAGATATAGAGAGGTTTACACATAGAGTGCTCCCTTATCTTCTCCCCACCGTCTGCCCCAGCAGTCTTTAGATAAACCAAAGTGAGTTTAGGAACTTACAGTCCCACTTCTGTTTAAAAAAAAAAAAAAAAAAAAAAAAAAATTAAAAGTTGTGCAAGAAAGCAGGGAATGTTCAATGAATCCAGATCTACTTTGTAGTTATAGCATTTCCAATGGCAAAGTGGTAAGGGCAAACAACCCAATGATCATATGGCTTAAGTTTAATGCAAAGCACACTAGGAGGTCCACGTGCAGGGAGAGAAGAGTCCCAGAAAGATGGAATAAGAAGTGTCCTGAAAATGAGTGTTTATGCATAGAATTCTTCTTGTTTGTGTGGTTTTTGGTATCCTCCGTTAGACTGTTTTGGTTCATCCAGTGAATAGCTGCCTTCGTCTTTTTTCTTCATTCTGTACAGCATAAATGCAACTAGAAACACCGCAAATACCAAGCCAACTAGTCCTCCAGCAATAACACCTAGAAGGGGAAGAGGAGTCACAAATTATTCTAGATGTCACTAGCTAATGCTAGTCTGATTGCAAGTTACAGATTGTTCCTTGCAGCACCCATCCCTGACTTCATTACTTCTAGAAATTAATTTGTCCTTTGCCCCCTCCCAAATCAGTCACCCTGCCAGTACCAAAAGCCTCCTCATCTACATGAGGAAAACCTGAAGAAACAGATCTCCCACCAGGCCATGCCACAGAGCACACCAGGCTATGTTGTTCAACTCCAGTCATTTGATCCAGGCAGCATTAGAGCAGTTTTACTGTAATTTTTGAGAGGAGTGAAGGAAAATGTTTGAACATAAAATTCCAGATAACTAGCAGTGGCTGCTTTGCTATTAGCTGATTAATATTTGCCCCACAGGATCACGAATCGCCACCCTCATTTCAGAGGTCTAAGGTAAAAGGTTGGCTTTCATACTCAGAGGTACTTGCAGAACTGCACCTTCTGCTGCCTGGAAGACTCCTACAAGAGTCTGCTTTTACCAGCTAGAAATCCAGAATATCAGGTACCTCCAAGAACTTCTTTTCTGTCCATAATTCCCGAGGCTCCTGCTGCTTTGGCATTCCTCCCAGAGTCAGCCGGCACTTCTGAGTTCTGGGTGGGAACCAAATCCTCATCTTTAGTCAAGATGAAGTCTCCCTGTTGGGACATACAAGGCAGGTTATTCATGTTTCTCATCATGTCTGTGTTACTGGAGACTTTCCACAGCTTTGTTTTTTCTCATCTGAAACCCTCCACCAATACAACCAATATAATCAAGCATCGGCTTTGACAAATTACCACCCTTTCCCGCAAAACCAACTTACTACACACTACTAAAGCCATCCCCTGCAAAGGGTGCCTAAGCTGTTAATCCTCACCGGGTCTCCAGAGCCATCTTCAGAAACCTCCTCATGTGTAGGAACAACATCCTTTGGAGCTGTCGTCGTGGGAGTGGCAGTGATGTGTCCCTCATGATGGATGGTAGAGCTGGGCTCAGGCACGTCTTTAGTGTCTGGCACATCAGAGCTAGGGATTTTTGGTTCGAGCTCATGGACCGTGCCTGAGGCTTCTGAAGGATTTACATGAACCACTGAAGGAAAGTGAGTTGTGGGGCTTCTCGCTGTTGTTGCAACCACATCATTTGTTGGTTTGTCATCAGATGAGCCCAGGATGGGTACTTCATCCTTCACAGCTACAACTGGCTCCTCTGTCACTACATTACTAATTGCAGAAGGAGATACTGCTTCTGTTTCAGTTTGGCTCTCAATCCTGGTAAATGGCTGTTCATTGAAATCCATGGGTGTTGCCAGTAACGAGGAATTAGTCGGTTCTCCTGGGATTTTCCAAGTGCGAGACTGGTCAGTCAGGGGACCTGCAAAACAAAAAAATATTATCCTTGGCCACTGCAGAGACTTATTAACAGTATCTTCAGGACACTGGTCTGAGGAGGATGCCCAACCTGCATAGCCAATTCTTATAACAGCAGCAGTTCAGTTTGTAATTCCTTATCCTTTTCAGGGGAATAAGGACAGGACAGACCAACGCGCTATTCAGCAACACCGTGTTAATATCTGCTTCTCCCCACGGCACAAATGCTGCTCTGTTTGCAGGCAGGCTGACAAGGGGGACATTTGCTTTCAGTACACTGGTTGCTCAGGATGGTTATCTGACTCTTTTCCCAGAAGTACCTTTTATGTGATTCATAGAATCACAGAATTATTTGCTTGGAAAAGGTCTTTGAGATCATCGAGATCGATTCAGAGCAGTCACCCATATACTCAACACCTTTAGTCACTGGCACATCTAGCACCAATTTCAGGGTTTTATTCCTGCAGAATTTAATCTAAAATACAAGCATATGGCTGGAAGGAAGCAGAAGGATACCATGCTTTAGCTTTCAATAGCTTGCTCTTTCCTCAGTAGCATCTCCTCACCTTCATCACCACACACCAGAATTGTCTCTCATGCAGTTTATTAATCATTCCGATAGACTTTTTTCCCCACCCTAAAACCCCCTTTCTTCTGCTTTTTAAAAATTATGGCCCATGGGAACTTCCACATCTGATGACAAATAAAATTTGCACTTGATGTATGTTGGCAGGTTAGGGTTTACACACTCTCAAATGGTTATGTCCTACCAGCTCGTAAGAGAGGACAAAGGCCCTTCTTACGGTCTCTCTTCCCCGTGATTAAAGAATCACTTCAGTTTCATAACATTTTTCACAGAAGATCTCATATTAGCAGTGACATGAAGTATACCTGCTTCTGCTCCTTTTCAAGTCTCCTACAACTCATTTTCCACTAATTGTTAGTATCTGAAGAAATACAAGATGAATAGATTAGGCTCCTTCTCTGTTTCCAACTGTCATATTCTGGGGCGGGGGTGTGTACGTGCAATTCCTCCCTCCCTCCCTTGTAGCTTGGATGCTCATCAAGATCTCAATTGTCACATTCAGGAAGGATCAAGCACTAACAGTACAAGTGCTAATAACTCACCTGCACCTGAACCTGAGAACGTATCGTCGTCATCACCAGATGAATCAAGATCTTCAGGAGGAAGGTTCAGATTTGTAGTTTGCTTTAAAGAGAAGAGGAAAAGGTGTGTTAGTGATGAGATTATTTAAAGTTATGTTGCTTGAGTAGAGTCCTCTAAGGGCTCCTGAAGGTTACACAAGCTTTCTTTGTGCAGATTGCATTTTCTCATCTTTCTTCATTCCATCTGCCCTCCCCAAAAGAGTAGTTCTGGCTAGGCTATTCAGTGTTGGAAAGGTCAGTCTTGCTGTCTTTCTTCTCTGCACTCCTTCCAGGCTGCACTTGCTTTGGGAAAGAAGCAAGCAAGGAATCCATTCAGAGCTGCACCCCAGCAGCAGCTGATGCTCAGTCCTTACACAACATAACTGTGCTGCTTCAGGTTCTGACCGCTCATGTCTTCACCATCTACCAACCACTTAATCTGTGAATTACTGCATTACTTCTGAGGAGTAGAAAGGAAGGGGAGAGAAAATAGTTTGGCTTCTCTGCCTTTCTGAGTCCTTCCAGCACTGCTCACGTATCTGAGACTACAGCATCTAACTGGAAGTAAAAGGAGATTCCCTTTTTCTAAGTGTGGGCACTCAGACGAAGTCCTGAGATAGAAGCCAGCCTTCCATGCAGGAGAATACAGCCCTGAGCTTTCTCCATTTATGCTTCAAGGAGTAAACGAACCAGCACAGAAGTTCAGTTGCTGAAACAAGAGCCCAAACCCCTGTTCTACTGCACCTGTTTCTTGTAACATACAACATCCAAAGCTGTTCAGGATATCCAAAGAAGACAACACTAAATGAAGCAGTGCGATTGCGTCATGCATCTTCTTGGCCTCTGCTATATACACTTACTGTTCTTATTGGTGAAACATGCTTGACTCTCTGCTTATGACTAGCCCCAGGTTTACTTCTGCAGGGCTACCATTACCTAATCAGTCATTCTTCCATCTCGGATTTCAAACCAAAGCCCTGTAAGTCACTTCTGAATTTCATCTTTCCCCATTCAACTACATTTCCCATTTTCCAGAATTCTGACTTCTATCTCACCCCCAAGACGTCCTCATCATCCCTTTCCAGCACTGCCCCACATCTGCAAGTTTAGGTGATACTGCACTGCATCATCCCAGCTGATCATGGTTCTATTGGGAGCGTGAAATCTCATTTTATAATGTAAAAGGAAGAATGTACCTTCTCGCCAGCTTTGCACCAGGCCCACTCTATTTTTCTAGCTTGCATTAACACAGTGTCACTTAAAAATTACTATAACATTCATTTTTATCCTAGGAAGAAGTTAGCCAGCACTAGTGTGATCCACCAAACAAAGCAATTGAGCTCTCTCATTGTCACTTTATTACCTACACAACTGTATTTATTTGCCCTATTTCCTTTTCATTCTTTTAAGATATCAAGTTTACCCAGTTTTCTCTTCTGTCCTCAATACCTTACCCATTTTCCACATTTCCATAGAACAACTACTTTCCAAGGTGGTCAACTAGCCCATTAGATCAGTCCTCTCTGAAGACAAAGAAGTATGCAAGCTGGCACCAACCTAATCAGGCCCAAGATTTTACCCCTTCTAGGCACTGTAGTTTGATGATTTTTTTTTTTCAATAACAAACAAGTATGAACAAAAAAAGTCTCGTACAGACATTAAACTTTTTAGCACTTTCCTTCTCTACTGGAAAAACAAACTGAACCAAGCTCCTCAAATTTCTGCAAGCATACATCTAGAATAATTTCCAAGAAGAAACTGCCCTTCAGTCTTTTGTTTAGCTGCGTATCATGAGGTAATTTGGATTTTTTGATTTGTCCCTGCCTGTTTGCACTGTGCTTTTGCACTCATCCACGGAAAGCAGGTCAGGTAAGTACTTCCTCTATGTTTTCCTTCTTGTGTCAAAGGTCAGTGGCTCACACAAGCTGATCTCACTACACTTCAAATATTAAAGAGCACAAACTGTTGGTGCAGAAAGAATTGCCAAGCTTCCCAAGCTCTACTCCCTTGAGTGTCCTTTCCAGTATGTTCAGAAGCAAAGTCAGACTTCAGAAATTGCACCATTCTTGTTGATAGGGGCATGGGGGACCATTTTTCTCCCTCTCTTCTTGCACTAGCAGTGGCAAGCACAACACCTTGTTCTCCCACTCAGCTTGGTTTTGAGTGTAAAAGGGGGAGGCATTGCAAAAGGGGGCTGCATCCTCTCCCAGTGGGAAGACTACCTAGAAAGCAATCTCTCCAGCTTTTTATTGAAGGAAGGGACTGCCAATACATGTCACCATGCACCTTTATCTAGGATCGAGACTGACTTCTCCCCCAGATCTGAATCTTCAAGGGTAGCTCACACAGGATTTACAAGAATACCTGGACAGATCTGCTGGTCTGCAGACCTTAGCAACACTCCTGAAAAGACCATAGACTGTCAGGAAATGAAACAGCAACTCTTGATCTTGACCACCGAGCCAGCACCCCTTCCTATTGTGGTGTTGATGGAGGAGGCTTGTTCAGTCATGTCACACTTCCTTTCTTGTGATCCTGTGTGTCCACCCAGCCTGCCCTTACCTTCCCCCTCACACCTGAGCCTCTTCCCAGGCTGCTGCATGTTCTGCTTCTCCATAGCCTTTGTCATGTACTTGTTTCTATCCTAGTTTGATTTCTGTATCTTAGCAGGGACAGCTAGGTCCTCCTTAGAGGAGGAAAGTCCAGTGCAGCCCAGCCTAAACCAATGGAGATCCATGCTGTTCCAGTGCAGAGTTGCCCAGCAGCCACCCTGCAAACACGAAGGCAGACTCAGACTGGTTCCTGTCCCCTGAAGTTAGCTACCATACTTCAAGAAAATAACAGAAAACACGATGTAGGATTGTTAAAGTCTGCTTTCCACAGCTTTATACGAGAACTTCATGAAGTTGCACTGTGTCCTTCTGCTTAGTTGTCCCAAAGGGTCTCATCCCAAGCTGCTCCTCTGGGAGTTGTGGTATTTCCCTTTGACCAGATAGTTTGAGCTTGAGATCCGAGAGGGACTTTCTTTGTCCCAAATACTCAAGGGACAGCACAGGATTATGCACACATGAATACCAGTCAGAATATCCACAAAATGATGGAACTTCATGACATCATCCAATTTCATGACACATGAGCATTAAGGAATATTTGCCTAATTTATGTAACTGTATGATTATATAAAGACTACCTACACTTCTCTACACTTCTTGCTCCATTAACTACAGCTTCAGTAGGCATGAAAGGCAGTAAGCTTTCCTTATGGCACCACAAAACAAGTGCTGTAGAAAGGTCATGCTTCTATAATGATCTGCTGCTGAAGGATTTCAGACACAGCAAGGTTAACACAAACCATTGACTCAGGACAGCATAGGAAGGGATTGAACTAATTTGGGTTTGCATCAGGAAGACGGACCGTGCTGTTCAGACAACAAACACCTCATGGTCGAGGCTTTTCCATGACCTTTTATTGCAGCTGAGTTATACCAATGAGGAAGGTTTTGATTAGTCAAGAGGATTAGGGGTGCAGAAGACAGACTGAATCACCAGGCTGTGCTATCATATGAAATAGCTGAAAATAAATTCCAGCTTAAAGCAAGATTACTCTACCAACAACTCTGCATTACTTTAGCTCCAAAATTTTATTATCAGACTGTTAGATATAATCAGCTAATGTGGAAATGCTTTTAGAAATTACTTCCATCATCATTGTGGACCATTCATACTGTAATTGATGCCAGAGACACCGGATGAACACATTTAAGTTCAGGCAGTGAATCCTTTGAAGGATCTCTGATGGTATGTCATGTATTCTAGTAAAACAAGAAACAAAAAAAAACCTTTCAGTTCTTCTAATGCACCTACATGTTGCTTTTTTTACCATTTAACAAGTTCATATTTTTAATTTGGTTTGGTTGGGGGGCTTTTGGGGGGTTTCTTTAGCAGCTCATACAACTGATTTGAAATACTTGCCTAGCCCTTTTGATTTGGTCTCACTGAATTTAGTTGCAAGTGAGGGGTAAAGTTTTTAACAGTATTTTTAATATGCATTAACCAGTTCCCATTAACCAGTGGAGGACCCCCTTCCCCAAGTATCAAAGCAGCTTAGGGGAAACCCTGGGGAGACTGTTAGCCTCTGCTCTTGCAGAGTGCTGTATTGTTGCAGAACAATAGTTATTCAGTTCTGCTGGGACAACCAGAAAGCTGCTTAGTGGCATCTTCAGTTTAATCAAGAATGGGCCAGGCTTTCATAACTCATTAGCAATATTATTGGTTCCAGAAGTCTGACAACTCCAGACTTTTTTTTTTTTTTTTTAAAGCATCATTTCTAGCTATTCTTCAGTCTTCATCTTGCTCACAGTCTCAATACACAACTCTTTCTGTGCTTATCCCATCAGCTGCCACAGAGTTCTCTCCCGAAGTACACAGATCTGAAGTACTCTCTCGTGATGAAAGGGAGATTTGTAGTTTATTAGTTGATCTCACCCTGCTCAAACCAAGAACCACATTTCTTTCATTTGGAGCCACAGTATATGTAAAAGGAAGCAGCTTTTTTCAAATTGCTCTCTGAGGTAAGCAAAAACACTGGCTTTGCCACAAGCTGCTACAAGCCCTAAACTAGATTAAGGATGATTTGTATCCCACTCTTATTAATCCTAGTTAGTGATCAGCCTATTACAGCAGTGTCAAAAACACTTGAAATCCTCCATTATCTGAATAATGCTGTTGAATTTGCACATTCATTTCTCCTAATAAATCCTTCTTATTCAGCCTGAAGAGGAATGAGCTGTAATGAGCTCTCCCACCTCAAACACTTCCCTAAGCATCCTTCAAGATTCCTCCAACTTTATGGGAAGCAAAACCAATAGTTTGCTCTTGTTTAAGAGAGACATACAAGAATAAGACAAGCATTTGCTCTCTAGTTTGGCTACCAAATATGACACTGGATCACCTAGAAAAAGACTTTCACAAGGGTTTGAATAGCTCTAAAAGAAACTCAAATAGAAAGATTTCTCTTTCACCTTTTCCTGTATATTGAAGAGCAGAGCTAGTCCTGCTAACAGAAATGCTATCTGAGGCAGCAGCCTGATGAGCTTCTAACCTCAAAATACTGATATTAGTGTGTGGGAAGAAGACAAAACCACCTGCTGAAAGAAACTTTAGCTTTGTGAAACCTTGATATTCTGCAGTCAGTAGCCCACGCATGATTAACTCCAATCTCAGATGTCCACGGTCTGCAAACAGCTAAAATAGTTAAGGGAAGGGGGGAAAAAAAAGAAAAAAGAACAAAAAAAACCCCAAACAAAACCACCAGCATCCTCATCTCTCCTCCTTCTCTTCTGCAGGCATACAGACTGCTAGCATTAAGCTGACCATGCAGACCTTCAGTTTGTACAGTCAGCCATAAATCCTGGAGTAGCTGAAACAGAACTGAAGCTCTCATATGGCAAGTCAGAAGTGAAGCTTTCATGCAGGTCTGCTACATCAGAAGTCAGTAGCTGTGTGGCACCACCTCAGCTAAATGCTCTTCCAGTTGTTTCTCCTGTTACTCTTCCACTGCTCAAGATAAGCACCAGTGCTGCTTGGTGACCCTGCAGGTTTATGAAGTAGTTGTCTTCAGAAAAGTGCCAAAGATACAGATTAACAGCACAGGCCAAAGAGCTGAAAGCTACAAACTGTCCCAGGAACAGCCCATGGGTGGTACAGCCTCGATTTAAACAGCATTTTATCCCTGGTTAGTGTTTCCATCAAGACTGTTCAAAGCATTACAACATCTGCCCTCCCTGTTTCGGATGTTGCCGTTTCCCCCTTCCCTCAATGAGCTTTTGCTGCGTACCAACAGGCTTCAGCATCCCCACCCCTCCATCCATTGGTTTACGTCAACTGGAGTAAGGTTGGTTAGTAGCTCACAGGGTGCTCCTTCCAAAGGGAAGGAAGTGGAAAGTCCAAGATGCTTTTTTGCTCAGCAAAAAAGCACCATTTTAGCAGCAAGAGGTAAGTATGCCAGTTAATCTGGCTGCTTCTCCATCAGATCAATATCAGTATGAAGAAATCTGGAACATCTTGGTTAACCGAGTTCTGACTGATGTCCTATTTCTGGCTGGTGACTTGAGAAGGGGACTGGCTTTGAGGGAGAGGTCCTAGCTGCAACAGCAGTTGTTTTTGTTCGAAGCACGAACCACCTGATCGTCACAGGTACCCACCTCTTGGCACTCGGCTCTTGAGGCAGGGAAACACTTTCCAACGCCTACTCAAAACAGGCCGAGAGCTTTTCGGATCTGTTCCATTATGGGCAGATCGGACTAGATTGCAAACTCTGCCCACCATCCACTAGGCTTTGATCCTCCTTTTCTGTCAAGTTTTGTGGCCACAGCTGTAGAAGCATACTCTGATTCTTCAAACAAGATGCAGTGGCCAAGGAAGAAGAGCATCCAGCTATTCCATACATGCAGCAGCTACAGTCCCAGTACTTCCAGAGGCTCACCTGGTAAGTACCACACCATTGCTCAATCAGCATTACATTTTCCCCTTACTCTGACAAGGCAACTTTTTTTTTTTAATTAAGTAGGGCTGAAACACAGCAATCAACATGCCAAGAGCGAAAATAAACCAGCCTGTCACCATCAGGCTGGGTTTCACATTCTGCAGTGGGGCCCTTTAAACTACCACCTCCCACGAGAGCGTGTCACTTCATGCTTCCTGGACCATCCCCTGCATGGCTGTTCACGCAGTCTCATGGTGAACCAGATCAGGGGCAACATCAGGGTTTTTTTCTTAAAAAAAAAAAAGAGAGAGAGAGAGAGAGACAAGGAAACATCATGCAAAGAATTTTCCAGTAGGACCAGTTCCCCGATCCTGCTCGGTGCATGAATGCACAAGTGTTTGTGTTGGCACAGGCCAGAGAGCAGCAGCCAGGGCTGCTTAAGCATTTCATAGAGAATCACAGCCTGGGCTCCCGGGATGCTGACACACATTCACAGACAGAGGGGCAGCAGAATGACCTGCCACCACCAGGCATTATGGAAATGTGCCTCACCCCCCTCAGAACACCAGCAACATGCAAAGCTGACTCAAAGGGCTGCGCAGGTTTATACAAAAAGGAGTAAGGAGAGGGCTTGTGGAGAGAGCTCTCTTCTGCAGTTTGTTCACAATGGATAAGGTTTGTTCCTAAGTCTGTCAACACTGCTTTTAAGTCCTCCCTGATCTCCTACACACAGTAGCAAAGGCTAGATAGACACCTGACTCAGAAAAGCAGTAGTACTGCTTTTGTCTTGAGCCATTTGAACTTTACAGGAGGTCCAGTGCAATCACAGTTTAGTACTGGACAAAGAGTATATTGCACGTCCTTCAGCAGGGAGGGCTGAGAAAAGCCAGGGGCAGCAGAAGCAGCAGGAGTCCAACAGGTTTATGGACACGACAGCCAGGGAAGCAAGTGCTACAGCCCAGGCCAAAGACTGCATCTCACTCACAGGTCAACACATCCACAGATGTGGCACACATGAAGCACTTGACTTAACTCTGTACCAGTGGCAGGCACAGGTTGTGACAACATGGCCAGAAGTGGGGTACCTTTTGTCTCCCACGTTCAAGGCAGCCTGTGTTTTGAAGATGTAGTCTAATGAGAAAGCTCTTTCCCCTGCAGCTAATCTCATGAAAAGCAGCCAGCTCAGTTTTATGCTATAACTGCTTTTCTTTAAAGAGCCTTCCCAGCAGCTCTTGAACATACTTGATAGTTTAGGCATTCCTTTCTTCAGATAGCACGAGAAAGCCACAGTCAATGTATAACCTCAAAGAGCTGTGCAAAGTACGTGCAGCTCAATGAGGCCACACAGCTAACAGCTCCAGCTCGTCCTGGGGAATTAATTTTTTAGTTTGTTTCAGCTGGCTTGAAAGGTGAGCAGTGAGCTGAGACCAGACAAACCTCACTTCTCTGAAAACCCTCTAACTTAAAGTCACCAGCACTACTTACTTTCTAGTGTAGCAAAACCAGCAGAGAAGATTCAGTCTTATAGCAACAGCCAGCTCAACTGCTTGTTTAGAAAGGCACAGCCAGGGAATTCCTTAGTTTCAGCCAAAGGCAGTGGTGGGCTGCCCATCCCAGGAACCCTGACAAAGTCTGGTTAAAAGAGAGGGATATGCCACAGCTCAGAAAAATCTTTATGAAATGGAAACGCATCCAGCAAAGGACTCTAGGAGCCCAAAGCACACTGCACACGCATACTAGTCATTGCAACATAGATAAATATGACCATCCTGACAGAAGAAGAAATTAAAAGTGACAGGATCTAAGGTCCCTGCTGCCTTGTCCTCACCCTGCAGTAGCACAGCCACACACCGGCTGGCTACCACGTATTCAACATGGCTAGTTCACAACACGTAGGATGGCCGCAGCACACACACATCCCCTGCTGTGGGGTTCAGGCAGGTGAGGTTGAGCAACTCACCTCAGACAAGCTGTCAGCAGTTACTGCCACTTAAACTGAGACTGGACTTTGTAGTGTTGCCCTCCAACACATACAAACACATTGACCTTATGTCTTCAGCAGCAGTCCCAGCAAAAATAGTCCCTATCCTCAGACAGTTATTCCCATCCACGCATTGACCTCTGTTGCCACAGACACACAGTCTTGCTTCCATCTGGGTGAAAATTCCTTTCTTTGCCCCTTCTCTTGCCACCCGCTCACCCTGTCTGGCAGGATCAATATTGAGGACTGTCACTAGAGTGAAACTTGCTACAGAACCACTGAGACCTTCCGGCAAGTGCAATAGTGGGGGCTTCAGACCACCCGATTGCTCCTTGACAGCATGCCTGGGTTGGAAAAGCCAGTCTCCTCTCCCCAGAAAGCTAAGAAAAAACCCAGCTCCCAGTACGGCTGACCAGTTAGCATTACAGCCTTCAGACTGATGAATGTAGCCCCAGACTGGGTGGGAGGGAAGAGCTGCAAAGCAGCTAGTGTCTCCATTCATCCCATTTGAGAGTGCCATCTCTTAGTAGACCTGTTAGCTCAAACTGGTCAGTGTGCAGCTGTAGGCCATGTGCCAGGATGCCGAGATGCTCAGCCCTGCTGAGGCCATTGTTGCAGAACAGAGCACAAGCCTGTAGCACACCAGCTTCAGGACATAAAAGGCAGTTCAAGGACTTTGGTCCCAGAGAAATAAAACTTGCTCTTTTCATCTTCAGTCATTCAGCTCAGGAAGTACCAGATCAGAATCAGAGACGTGTCTACAGGAAAGCACGACATGGGCCTATGGCATCTCAAGTCTTCAAATTAGGTTGGTGGCACACTATGAATCATCAATGCCTCTCAGCAGCACCAGGAAAACCCATGTGTGCCTCTGGTCCTAGGGAAGCCTATTTCCTGGAGACAAATGTCAGGCAGCTTGGCTGGTAGAACTGCTACCCATTTCAAGTGAGCTCCATGCCTGCTTTTGCATGATCAGCAAACTACCACAGGCAGCACTAGATGAGTGCTCTGACCTGAGCAGTCGTGTTCCCTGAAGTCAGAAGCAACTTCCATCACCATGCTACACAGTATCCTGGGAGGGAAGAAGCTGTTCTGCTTCACCCGAGGAAGGGAAGCCAACATGTAGCCAGGAACACTTCCTGCCTCCAGGAATTATTATCAGGCAAGAGTAAGTGCAACAGCCTTTGGATCCAGGCACGTGGCTAGGAGAAGACCCATGTTCTTATCTCAGTCCTGGGAGTTTCCCTCTTCACCTCCTTGAACTCTAACAATTATCTACTGCGAGATATGCCAAGGAACCAGGAGACAAAGCTGTAAGATCTTCTTGAAGGATCACAGAAGCATTTTCACTCCATTAGTGATATACATTTGTTTCTAATTTGAGCGAACTGCTTGCAGTGCTACACCAGGTCAGTGAAATCCAAGGTTCAGATAAAAATCCCTAGTGTATCATCAGACTAAGGGTTTACTGGCAGTACTTCTGGTTCCTAGCAGCTAGGAAGTTATTTAAACGCTCAGCAGAAAGACAAACTCACAACCCTGGAGCACTAAAGGTCTCAGCTAAAACAGGTTAGCTGGTAAAATTAGTGAGACTACTTAAGCCTACAAATAGCCTTACAAAACAACAAAGAAGCTGACAAGGTACTCTGGTCATTTCCAACCAAACTATTCTATGATTCTGTGATTAGTTATATAAAGTTACACTGGAAACACCGAGACTTAAGGTTTTATAGGAAGATATATGCTACAGCAACTGGATATATCCTGTAGTGACTGCCTATGCAAAGGGCAACAAAAATTAGCATTTGCTGACACTTCAGTGGCAGAAACACCTGCCAGCTGTAAGGCCTGCTGCTATCAAACTCTGCTTTAGCCTCCCAGCTGATCTGCTACAGGACATGCATCAGGTCC